CTAGCTTCTCACTCCCAGTTAAACCTATAGTGTGAGGTGTAGAGCTGGGTGGGGATTGGTGCCATTGGCTTTGGATAAACTGAATTGACAGTGCTGTCACTCTAGCTTCACAATCGCTTGTGGGATTGGAGTGCTGTCATTTCAGGGACTCCCCATGCCTGCATTCCCACCTGCCTCTCCTTCCTACTGTACTTATGCTGCCATAGCCGTATCTGCCGGAGCATTGCACTTTATATTGCACTCATCTAACTTTTAGCACTGCCTATAGTCTCCCTTACTTTGATTAATTGCATTTATTTCCACCACCTTCTCCTGGGGGGTGCTGCCTGGAGCCCTCAATCTATCAAGATGTCCAGCACACCCTGCAACATGTGACGTCGCCACGACCAATGACGACCGTGCATCCAGCTCGCCGTTCTGCCTGTGTCATCTTCCTTGTATGACCCGCTCCCTGCCTTCTGGCTGCCTGGCGATTGGAGGGAGTAGTGGCACCGGCTTGTCATCTCCCCCCTGCTCCCTGTTTCTGTCTCAGATTTAACTGTATTTGACTCTCCCTGCCGGCCCCTGGAGGATGGGCTCCCCCTTTGAGTCTGGTCCCTCCCAAGGTTTCTTCCGTCTCGGGAGTTTTTCCTTGCCACTGTCGCCTATGGCTTACTCACTGGGGGCTTTGGGTGGGGATGCTGTAAAGCGCTTTGAGACAATGTAATGTTGTGATAATGCGCTATACAAAAATAAATTTGTTGTTGTTGTAGGCTAGCATATGGAGAGGAAATTGAAATTTAAAAATAAAATAAAATTAAAAATTTTAATTGAGATTAAGCATTAAAATTAAGACACAAAGGCTTCTAAAATGTAATGTTAATAGATTATGTCCATATTGTTCTTGGTGAGTTTCACTTTCAATATTAGTTAGTTTATATTTATGTTCAAACAAACTTTATGTTCATTTCAATGTTCATGCCCTGATCAGAGAGAAATTGCAGAGAGCAGGTCCTGGAAGAACATTCTGGGCTTCGGAGCAGAACCACACAAACTCTTAGTGGCAAATTGAAACAGTTTACGTCCTGTTACAGGGGACAGAAATGGCTGTTTGACTCTTGCAATCAGTCAGCCTGACTGCTGTGAGTGCTGACCAATGACAAAATCATACGGCTTGAAGAAAACACAGAAAGACCTCATGTATAAGCCGGAGTCTGTAGGTCCCACTCAGGGTAGCGTCAAGTTTATTTATATTTGTAACCAAACATGGTGATGTGACACTAGGGGGAGCCCTTATTTAATGTAATAATGAATGCACTAATGACGATGTGCCTAGGAACAATTGAAATTCAGCTACTGGTGGAAAGAGTGAAAGACATTAATTATTGAGCCAATATGTTACATTCTGTGTCATAATTTATTTAGGCCCCCTGGCTCTTTGTTTTGGGAAACCAGAAATCAGAATCCATGAAGAGGGGTAACTATGCAGGATGACATCCACGGCAATAAAATAACAGCAAAAGCAAAGGCTACACTGCCCTCCATAATTATTGGCATCCCTGGTTAAGATGTGTTAAAAGCCTTAAAATAAATTCAATTTTTATTGCAGAAGCATACTCTCACACTGACAATTGTAGAAATATGTAACCTTCAACTTAAGTGAATTTTAAGGGGGAAAAAAATCCCTGACTAAGAAATAATTATTTTTCATAAAATCACCTCTTCCACAATTATTGGCACCCCTAACAATTCCTAGGAAATAAATGTAATTGAAGTATTTCTGTCATTTCTACAGTAGTTTACAAAGTTGATCAGAGTATCTAGGAACATTTAATTAGTAATTCATCACTTCCTGTGTCCCTGGGGTATAAATAGGACGTGACACAGAGGCCATTTCTCTTATCTACTCTTCAACATGGGAAAGACAAAGGAACACACCATTCAAGTAAGGCAGATGTGTGTCGACCTTCACAAGTCAGTCAATGGCTACAAGAAAATAGCCACTCATCTGCACCTGCCCATATCTACTGTCAGAGGAATCATTAAGAAGTTAAAAACAACTGGAACAGTGGCAAACAAGCCTGGACGAGGATGCAAGCTTATTTTGCCACCACACACAGTGAGGATGATGGTAAGAGAAATAAAAAGTTCTCCAAAGCTCACTGTTAAAGAATTGCAACAAATGGTAGCATCTTGGGGTCACAAAGTCTCCAAAACAACCATCAGTCACTATCTATATGCCAACAAGCTGTTTGGGAGGCATGAACAGAAAACACCTTTTCTCACTCACAATAATAAACGCAAACGTCTGGAGTTCGCTAAGCAGTACTGGGGCTTCAACTGGGACCGTGTGCTTTGGTCAGATGAGACCAAGATAGAGCTTTTTGGCAACACAAAAAGATGAGTATGCAGAAAAGCACCTCATGCCCACTGTGAAGTATGGGGGAGGATCGGTGATGCTGTGGGCCTGTTTCTCCTCCAGAGGCCCTGGGAACCTTGTTAGGCTGCATGGCATCATGACTGCTTTGAAATACCAGGACATTTTAAATCAAAATCTGGTGGTCTCTGCCTGAAAGCTGAAGATGGGTCGTCACTGGGTCTTTCAGCAAGATAATGACCCTAAACATGTGGCCAAATCTACACAGAAATGATTCACCAGACACAGAATCAAGCTCCTCCCATGGCCATCTCAGTCCCCAGACCTCAACCCCATTGAAAACCTGTGGAGTGAGCTGAAGAGGAGAGGACCCAGGTCGCTGGATGATTTAGAGAGATTGTCGAAGATCCCTCTTTCTGTATTCTCCCATCTTGTGAAACATTATAGGAGAAGATTAGGTGCTGTTTTGTTGGCAAAAGGGGGTTGTACAAAGTATTAACATCAGTGGTGCTAATAATCGTGGCACACATGATTTGATGTAAAAGAATTATTTCTTAATGTGGTATTTTTTTCCCACTGAATAAATGCACTTTAATTAAAGGTTGGATTTTCCTTTCTTTTTCATTGTGGTCCTATATTATTTAGAAAACAACTGAATTTATTAGAAGCTAAAGAACACATCTTAACCAGGGGTGCCAATAATTATGGAGGGCAGTGTAACAATGGGCTACAGCCTTATTTGGGGAGCACTTCCTGTTTTCCCGTCCAGTGGGGAAGCCTCTTTGTAACAGGTTGCATCATCACCAAGGATTTATGGCTCCAGGGTCTCTCTTAGTTTTAGGTAAAACCTGGAGCTGGAACTGGGGCACGTTTCATTCGTTCTCTTTCCATTGTGAGGTTCTTTCGATTTTGGATTGACAATAAATACTATGCTTTATATTGCTGTGTTCTGTAAAATTTCTTTCCCAGTAAATAATCTCAATTCTGATGCACATTCCAGCAGCTCTATTGTTCTGGCAACGGCGCTCCAGACCAAATTTTGCCAAGACCCTGGGGGGGGAATGCAGGCTCAGTACAGGCACGATTAGCAGCAGAAAGGGCTCAGCAGAATCCTCCCTGACAGGCGTCTCGTCACTCTCCATTCTCCCATTGGCTGCATGCCCCCCCCCCCCCAGCATTCTCCATCTCACCACCTGCCTGAAAACCAGGGAGCCCCACTGAATGCTATGGAGGCCTGTGTGCATGGAGACAGTGCTGGGGTGGCGCGGAGGAGTAAGAGAGAGAGAAGGTGCTGGAATTCCAGAACAAAGGCGGGGAAATTCAGCCTGTGCACAAGGCAGGACCAGTGTTACATTATGGATAAACATTGCTTTTTAAAAGTAGTCCATGGATGGACATGAGTGTAATCCCTAGACCCCAAGCACCAGGATGGATTATCAACATCAAACTTCAGGCCCAGGATGAGGAAGCACATTTGCTTCCTGAGTGTTAGCTGCTACTGAGGCGATGGTCTCATAGCCTATGGTATGATCCTGCCACACGTAGAGTTTGGAACAGTGGGAAAAAAACGTTTGATGGCATATTTTACATATGAGCTCCTCATGAGCAGGAAGCATTCAGTAATTCAATTCCATTTCCCAAGAAAAGTGGCAAAGAATTCTGAGGCCTAATAACACCTTCAGGAAACTAACGGTATCTGCCACTGAAAGCAAAACAGCCCAGCATTACTATCTGGCAAGGAGCGCTGTTTGGCTACAGTTACTCGCGCACCTGCCAAATTTCCATCGATTGCTCTTCCCAAGCTTTTAGTCGGCGTCTTCTCTTAAGTAAGAGCGGCAGGACGACTTCCGTTTCCTCCGACTCTTCCAATTAAAATTAAAATTTCCCTACGTTTTTCGCGCGGCGGGGGGCGAAATTGGCGTAGTCATTAATTTCAAGTTCAATTAAATGGCAGCCAGAAAGC